AGTGTCTGGCCTTCCCCCTGCTTGTGCTCATTCTCTCTCCTGCTGGCCTGTGAAGAGGTGCCTTCTGCCATGATTGTAAGTTTCTTCAGGCCTTCCAAGCTATGCTGAACTGTGATTCAATTAAACCTCTTTCCTTTATAAATTATCCAGTCTTGAGTATGTCTTTATTGGCAGCATGAGAATGGGCTAACACACTCGTCTTGCATCTGGGATCAAGCAGAGCGAGCTGGTATCTACTCTTCTAGAGGCTGTGAACAATAGTTAATTGAGGCCTCCTCTCTTACTCTGCTCCTTCAGATGGAATTGCTCAAGGATAAAATGATGGCATCTGGCGGCTGTTTAAGTTATTGCACACTTCTCCAGGTCCATGCTCTTGCCCCTTCCCTGTCTTTCTGAGGGTGTTTTTGTCTACAGCTCAGATTTCTCATTCCTGAAAAATGTACTCCCTGTCTTTCTCCCCCACTTGCATCTCATTGCAGTGATTTCCAGCTGTGTACACAGAACCGACAGGGTAATCAGGAGTTGTAATTGGTGAATGGAAACAGACAAGAAGGTCTGCTATGAGAGAGTAGGGGCTTAATCAGCTGTGACGATTTCCAGATGCTAACACCAGAGAAAGATGAAAATGCTGAAATGAGGGAATCTCATTTATGGCTGCCTTTATTAACCAAGCAGCCAATCTGGAAGGTGGAGGTTAACACCTTGAATATACAAAATGCCATCCTTTTCCAACATTTCAGACAAGGCAAAGAGAAAGAAGAATAAGAGTCCACATTATCTGGGGGAAAGGCCTTAAAAGGCTGTGCACTGACTAATGTCCAGGAGCTTCAGAATCCTGTAAACAGTGTTACTGAATGATATAAATTGGATTCACTCTGGCCCCTGCCTATTCATAGGGTGCTATGAGAGTACAGACCAAATGCGTTTAGGACAATGGTAGGGTTCCATGAAGGCATTCTTTCTGCAGATCCTGACTTGAGCTCCAACGCATCCATAGATGAGGAGATGCAGCCCACAGGCTCAGAAAGAAGTAAGTGTGAGAAAGATATAATTTAGAGACTGGGAATGTCTTAAAAGTAAGAGGTCCCAATGGACAAGATGAAAGCAAACTGTGGCTGTCTCCCTTTGCCCCCACTTCTAATGCAGTGTCATCTGCCAGCAGTTGGCTGCTGTGGTTCCCTTGAGGTAGAACATTTCTGGCTCTTGGGGGAGTTGCAAGTAGGGTATCTGAACTAACCTGGAAGAAGCCTATGACAGCCACCTCAGTGGCAGCAATGAATTCCATGGCAGCTGGGACATCTGCGAGCCACGTGGGTTCCTGGGCAGCACCAGGACCATCTAGAGAGAGAAGTAGAAGATGTCAGGGTACTGAGGTGAGAAGAAGCAGCTCTAAATAATGAGAGCATCTATACCTTTTATCTCTATACTAAGGCTAAGAAAAGCACAATTTCTAGGAGTACTGTTAGCATGCCAAAGTATAATATTTTTACTAACATATGGAAGGTGACCCTACTGATGGTCTGTCTCTGAAGGATACTGCCAGACTTTCCTGCTCTCCGCTAGACAAAATGCATCGTATCCAGGATTTCCTGGAAAGCTTTCTAGGTGTGGAGGAAAAGTACCCAGAGAACCACCATGATGCTCCTTTTCCTTCTCCTAATAACACTTTCACACTATTGCCACCCAACTACATTTTTCTTTTACCTGCGGATTTCTCAACTTCTGCAGCAGCTTCTGCAGTCAGGTCACATGTGAGGAGAAATAGGAAGAACATGAATCTGGACAGGGCAGCTTCCATTGCCCCTCTCCTGCTCCTGCTCCAACCCTGGACTTTGTGTTTGGGAGGCCGACTTAGGGCAGCCCGCTCTGTAGCTGATTGGCTGTGAGGTTGTTAGGGCTTTGGGAACTTTGCAGCTGGCTCCCGGAGAGCCTTCAACTTCTGAGATAAAAGACCAAGTTTAGTAATCGGGACTCAGAACATAACCAACCAGAAGAAAGTCAGGTCAGTTTATTTAAATAAAAAATGTAAATATTCAATGCCAGGTATTGATCCTCGCACTAGGGATAGAAAGATAATTATGATCTGATCCAGCCTCTGCCAGCTTAGATTGTCAGTGGGAGAGATAGGCAAGTAAAAAGATTATTTAAACATAAGATGGAAAGTGATATAGAAAAATTCATAGGGTGCTATGACAGTACAGATTAAGGGTATTCGGGACAATGCTAGGTTTCAATGAAAGTGTTCCTCCTGTGGAGGATGCCCAAGCAGAGTCCTGGGTAAGTAAGATTTTGCCAGAAAACACAAGGTAGAAAGGAAGTTTCATGTAAAGAACCAAAGCATAGAGATGCAAATATAATGTGTGACAGAATTACTAGTAATTGAGAATGATGAAAAGGAAGGAAGTGATACATGTGGGCAGAAAGGCATATGGGACCAGCTCACAGCAGGCCTTATATGATACGCTAAGCACGGGAGCATCAACTTTATTCTGTAGGTGATGAGAACCCCTGAAAAGTCTTAAGCAGAAGAAATAGATAAAGTTTGATTTTGCTCACAAGTGTCTGAGGAAGTCCAAGATGAGATTTTCCACAGGCATTGGGATATGTAGTCTTTAGCTTAGGAGAATTTTCATGTGAAAATATTATAAAAGAAATTAGGAAGTCCTAGCCAGAGCAATTCGGCAAGAGGAAGACATAAAAGGCATCTAAACAGGAAAATAAAAAGTCAAACTATTTCTCCTTGTTGACAATATGATTGTATGCCTGGAAGGCTCTAAAGACCCTGACAAAAGGCTACTGGAACTGATGAATGATTTCAGTAAGGTATCAGGAAAAATATAAATGTACAAAACTCGGTGACATTTCTGTATACCAATAATGTCCAGGCTGAGAGTAAAATAAAGAACACAATTTCATTTACAATAGCCACAAATAAAATGAAATGCCTAGGAATACAGATGACCAAGGAGGTAAAATATCTCTTCAAGGAGAACTACAAGACACTTTTAAAAGAAATCAGAGCTGACACAAATGGAAAAACATTCCATGCTCATGGGTAGGAAGAATCAGTATCTTCAAAATGGCCATACTGCCCAAAGAAATTTATAGATTCAGTGCTATTCCTATCTAACTACCAATGTCATCCTTCACAGAATTAGAAAAGAAAACTATTCTAAAATTTATATGGAACCAAAAGAAAGTCTGACTAGCTAAAGCAATCCTAATCAAAAAGAACAAAGCCAGAGGCATCACATTACCCAACTTCAAACTATACTACAAGGCTACAGTAACCAAAATAGCATGGTACTGGTACAAAAGCAAACACATAGACCAATGGAACAGAATAGAGAACCCAGAAATAAAGTCATATACCTACAACCATCTGATCTTTGACAAAGTTAACAAAACCAATCAATGGGGAAAGGACTTCTTACTCAATAAATGGTGCTGTGATAGCTGGCTAGCCATATGCAGAAGAATGAAACTGGACCCTTATCTTTCACCATATGAAAAAATTAACTCAAGATGAATTAAAGATTCAAGACCTCAAACCACAAAAGTCCTAGAGGAAAACCTAGGAAATACTCTTTTCGACATCAATCTTGACAAGTAATTTTTGGCTAAGTCGTCAAAAGCAATTGCAACAAAAACAAAAGTTGACAAGTGAGACCTAATTAAAGAGTTTCTGCAGAGCAAAAGGAACTATTGATAGAGTAAACAGACGTCTACAGAATGGGAGAAAATATATGCAAACTATGCATCCAACAAAGGTCTAATATTCAGAATCCATAAGAAATTTAAACAAATCAAGAAGCAAAAAACAACCCCATTAGAAAATGGGCAAAGAACATAAACAGATACTTCTCAAAAGAAGATACACAAGAGGCCAATAAACACACACAAAAAATGATGCTCAATGTTACTAATTTTCAGAGAAATGCAAATCAAAGCTACAATGAAATACAATCTCATGCTAGTCAGAATGGCCATTATTAAAAAATCAGAAAACAACAGACACTGGTGAGACTGCAGAGAAAAGGGAATGCTTATACACTATTCATGGGAATGTAACTTAAGCAGTTAAGTAGTTCAGTCACTGTGGAAAGCAACTCTAAGTAATGAGGGCATCCATACCTTTTATCTCTATACTAAGGCCAAGGAGAGTACTCCAATTTTTAGAAGTAACGTTAGCATTCCAAGGCATAATATTTTTACTAACATATGGAGAGTGACCAGTTTGAAGATTTCTCAAAAAACTTAAAACAGAGCTACCATTTGATTCAGGAATCCCATTACTATGTATATATCCAAAGGAAAGTAGATTGTTATACCAAAAAGACATGCACATGTATGTTCATTGTTGTGCCATTCACAATAGTAAAGACATGGAATCAATGTAGTTGCCCATCAGTGGTGGATTAGATAAAAAATATGGTGCATATATACCATGATATACTATATGGTCATAATAAAAAAGTAAAATCATGTCCTTTGCAGCAATATGGATGAAGCTGGAGGCCATAATTCTAAGCAAAGCAATGCAGAAACAGAAAACCCACTTCCATATGTTCTCACTTATAAGCGGGAGCTAAACACTGAGCACACATAGACATGAACGTGGAAACAGCAGATGCTGTGGACTACCTGAGGGGTGAGGGAGGGAGTGGGGCATGGTTTGAAAAACTACCTATTTAGGACTAGGTTCACTACTTGGGTGCAATATACCCATGTAACGAACCTGCACATGTACCCTCTATATCTAACATAAAAGTTGAAATTAAAAATAACCAACTAAATAAGTAAAATGCAGATTTCCCACTGGCGGTATTCTGAATGCACATTACCTATTACAGTGTAATATGGGACCAATTTGTTCCCAATGATGTAAATATCTCCTCCTGTGTGTTTTCCTCATCCCCATCCCCTCTTGGGGAACTCACGAATGTGAACCATCCAGTTATCATATTTGTTCAAAGGAAGAAAGCAGGGAAATGAAGGTCTCAGTCAGAACACATGCAGTTATTGTTTTATTCTTATTCTCTTGTGTTGTTTACAGTGTCTCTCACAAAAGAAGTACTCCATCTGGCAGGGGATGTGACTAGCGACTCATTGGGCCAGCGACAACCGCAAAAGAATCTAGGCATTAGAATGAACTACTGGAACCTGAGTCAAAGACCTGTTAGTGATAGTTTGCCCATTTCCTGGCCTCTAGTTGCTCGAATGGGGTAAGAGAGGGCAATATTAAATGATTGTGTATTGAGATGGAGACGTGGAAGATCTGGCCCTGACGGAGGATCGGAGGGAGGAGGCAGGGTGAAAGCCCGGTTTTATGCCTCTTGTGCTAGGGACCACATTGAGAGACAGGGTGGGAAAAGATGCATCAATAAGGAAATGTGGGCAGTGTTGAAGTGGGACCCAGCTGTGGACAGGGAGGAGGGACAGGGTGCTGAACACGCCTGAGAGGATTCTTCCAGATGGCAAGGGTGGGGAAAGGGATGGGTGGATGCATTCATTCTGTCCACTCCTTCTTAATCGACAGGTTCCACTCCCAGCTGAGGTGGTCGTGCTTGTCATCGTCGGTGAAGAAGGACTTGTTGTGGTACGTGCCTCGGGCCAGCATGCCCTTGGGAGCCTCCTCAACTGGAGTGAGGAACTCATACTCTTCGGGCCGAGGCCCATAGCTGCCAACCATAAATGTTGCTTTATCCACTAGGATGAAAGAAGAGTTCATTAGGGTAAGAGCCTGACAGAGGAAAAACACACACTGCAAACCGGAGAATCTGGAGTACAGCCTACAGTGATTCAAGCCAAGAGCAATAGTTTCCAAGCCTAAATAAACATGAGATTTACCTGAGGCATCTCTTTTTTAAATTTTTTTATTATTATTTTTTTAAGACGGAGTTTTGCTCCTGTTGTCTAGGCTGGAGTGCAGAGGCACAATCTCGGCTCACCGCAACCTCCGCCTCCTGGGTTCAAGTGATTCTCCTGCCTCAACCTCCCGAGTAGCTGGCATTACAGGCATGCACCGCCATGCTTGGCTAATTTTGTATTTCCAGTAGGGATGGAGTTTCTCCATGTTGGTCAGGCTGGTCTCGAACTCCCACCTCAGGTGATCTGCCTGCCTTGGCTTCCCAAAGTTCTGGGATTACAGGTGTGAGCCACCGCACCTGGCCTTGAGGCATCTTTTTAAAAAAATGATTCTTTAAACATTGTTTAAGTTGGAGTGCCTTTTAATAATAGTTTCCTTTGTCCTACTTCCAAAGGCTATGGTTCAGTAACCTTCTGTGGGTCCCAAGGCTCAGTGTTTTTAAAAAACTACACAGTTGATTCTGAAGTAAAGTTGGGGAACCAGTGCCCTAAATCAATGGGGATTAAGCCTGTTTTTTTTTTTTTTTTTTTTAATGGAGATATAGCAGACTACACCATTTAAACAACTCAGACAAATTGAGACCGCAGTTCTGATCTCAGTCCTGCAATGGCCTAAGTCATTTTTGAGCCTCCATTTCTTTGTGTGTATGATGGACTTTGAGGATCTTCTATCTACAAACTATCATTCTATGAGCATATCAGTTGGGGGAGATAAAGTAACAGATGGTGATCAGAATTCATGGATAGAATAATTGGATGGAACAAGAACAGCAGTAAGTTGGTAAAAAAAAAAAAAGTGAAAAACTAGGACAAATGGCGAAAATAGCCAATCAAGTTGATTTGCAGGTGAACTGGAATATATATTAAGAATAGTTGGGCATTGAAAAGCATACATAGGCAGATAGGTGGCATATAGTTGGCTAAGTGTTATTAATAAGTTTGAAAATACAGCTGCAGACATGTCACTGTCCTTTTGTTGAAATGAGGTCATATGGGCTTTGTGCCCAAAGGAAAATAGGAAATTAAACTTTTTTTTTTTCATGAGACTAGGTATTGGAAAGGTCAATCAATATCTTTCAGGTCAATGGTCTTCTCTGGGATTTGAGAAATTGACTGGTCCTCTATGTCATACAAATTTATCAGATAATTTCTCCCCTATCTTGCTTATTAATTTGGTGGAAACTGAGACATGCTTTGCTGTTTCTCGCCTCTGGAGAGGACAGACCCTCAGGTAGAAAGAAACTGTAAAGTGCCTCCATCACCTTCCTGCCTCTCATTTCTCTCTGCCCATATTAATGAAAGAAAATTGAAGGCAGGTTCCCAAGGTATGTCAAGAAGAATTGCAGATTAAGTAATATTGCCATGTTATTTTAATTAGACAGGCCTTTTCAATCCTAGAAAGTATTTTTTTTTTCTATTTCTTTGTTAGAAAACTGAGCATTGCCTGCCCCTTCCCTCCAATGCCACCCCACCTGCTCCCACTCCAAATACACACACCACCGGGCAAGTTTGTTCTTTCTTGGGTTTCTCTGACACTTGGTCTTTGTACCTGTGAACTGTTTTTTTTTTTTTTTTCTCTTCTTACTTTGTAGAATATTTTTATATACTTTATTTCCTTCAAACCTATCTTGGTGACTCTTCTTCTTTATGAGTGATAATGTTGAATCCAAAAAGCTGATTGCTGAAGGTCAGCAGCTGATGCAGTCTAAATGAGGTCCCCTGAGCCCTGGACTTGTCAATGTCTAGAGCAGAGGTGTATTTGTGCCTTTTCCTAGGGCCAGCATCCACAGCTTTTATCATATTCTCATCTGAGTCTATAGCTAAAAATTGCTAATAACCAGAAGTTAAAGTATCAATGAGAAGCCGTTTGGGACAGTGTGGCAATGTGGGTTCCCTTACCTTTCACTCCAGTGCGGTAGGTGTGCTGAACATATTTCAGGCCTGACACAATATCCCTGTTCACCTGCAGATGGGAAGGAACCAAGCTGTTCAGATTAAGAGGGTCTTTCATTTTTTCTCATCCTTCATGCTGATCCTGCCTAGCTAAATCTTCTCTGAAAATGAAAAAACTAAAGATTTAGTTTAGAATAGGCGTTTCTATAATTATTTAGCATGGCTGTGAAGCAAAGATTAGAGAGGGGAAATCATAAAACGCAACATTGCCAAACTGGTTTAATTTTCGAACATTTTGACTTTTACCGTTTAGGGAGAGAGGAGTGGTTCATATTGTCCCAACATTCTTCATTGTATTTCTCCTTTCTCAATGGTCCCAAGAATGGCCTTGAGCTTTCCCTCTCCAATACTAGTGACCAGGAGACCATCCTTGTCTTAGTAAAAGTTATGAAGGTATCAGTAGAGCACATTATGTAAATATCTAAAAACTACAACCTCAGAGATGATCCACCTACCATATAAAAAACAAATAACAAGGAGGAAAGCTGTAATGGAAAACTCATGTCTAGAAGATGGCTGTGCCTGCAATATAACTGAAATAGTCGGTGAAATTCACTTGTATCTGGCAAATATTTTGGATGTCTGTCATTTTCAGACGTTGTCTGAGATCTTGCTATTTTCCCAAGCCTTTCAAAGAAAATTCAGTAACGCAGAATGAAAATGTAGACAGCCGAAGAACTTTGTTTTTCCATGATTCATTTCACCTGGGACTAACCTGGGTTGTCTGTTAATTTTACACAGTGGTTATGTCTATACAAACAAATTAAAGTGGACATTGCATCATTAGCTGAAGGGCTTGGTTATCTGTTCACCAATGTGAAGAATTAAAGCATCTTCAAATAATTTTTCTTCAACAATAATTATAGCTGGCCTTTTGTGTTGGACACAAATAGTTAAACCAATCAACTAGTGCTATCTTTTGTTTTGTTGGCAGGGAGGTGGCAGAGCAGTGAACACTGCCAGCTTAGATTCTTGACTGTCACAGGGTAAATCTGTAATATAAATCTATGAAGAGCTGTCAGAAAAAAAAAAAAAATTAGCATCATCAAAGAGACTGTGATAAAAAATAAAGCCCAGACTTTCTAATTACTCTGAGTCTCAAATGTAGCTCATAGGAATAGGGAAAATAAATGCATCTTTCTAGATGTCCCCAGCTTATCTCTTTCACCTAGTGGGAGAAAGACCTAAGAAGAAGAATTATATTGGTGTAGCAATAAGGACTTCAAGAAAAAGAGCCTACCATCTCACCAGCACTCTACAGTGGGTCCACTTAATATAAATACATTTGGGGTGGGTGAAATAAAACTGTGAATATTCATAGAATCCTCTTCTTCTGGCCACGTCCCCATCCCTATTGTGTCTCCCACTCCAGGGAGAAGCAGCCTTGGTGTTGTGAATCAAAGTGAGAGCTGTAGAAGTCAGAGATACCACATTTCCTTAGGAGATAGGAAAAAGGTTGGGGAGAACCTAAAAGAACAACCCTAGGCCAGGTTTTTAGAAAGTGCTAAGAAGTTTGGGAGGAGAAAAAGAACATTGAGTGCAACTAACAGAGATCGTGAAAGAGGACTTTAGCAGGTGTTACTGGTGTTATAAATGCAAACTTTCTTGGACATTTTTCAGGAGACTTCAATGAAGATTTAAGTTGTTTTTCAAGGATTTTCACCTTTAACCTGGCATTTCTTCTAATTGTAGCACCATGCTGGGAGAAGACACAGGATGGTTCAACTTTATGTAGGTTCCTCAGAGAGCTGTCAAACCTCCGAATTAAAGAGTACTCAAAAGCCCCTTTCTGTGGCCTACTCCTGCATCATCCTAATGTGTAAACCTGACCACACAGACCCACATACCACATTCCTCCTCTGCCTTCCCACCCAGAAGAGAATGCCCTGTTCCAGAGTTTTCTGTCTCATCTTATTCACATCAAAATTTACCTGTCACATTTCATTTGAGAAAAACCGATTTACCAAATAGACAAATTAATGCAACAGTATCAATGATTAAAAATGAAACTGATGTGCAACCCATTCTAGGCGTATTTTGATATAATGCCTTACCAAACCCTCAGGTGCTTCAATAATGCATGATATGACAGGAAACAAGTAAGTGAACCCTAGTTCAGTGTCCATTATAGAGTAGGTATCCACAAATATTTCCAGGATGAAATTATTTTCAGGCATATTTGTATGGGGTAGGGAGGGGTCATCCATGGACTCTGAATCATATCCTGTACCTTGGGGAAAGAAGCTCCCAGTGTGCAAATAGAGAAAGCAGATGGAGTCTTCCTTGGTGGAGCCCAGGCCCTGGAAACTGAGGCTAAGTGGGAATGAGAGGCCACCAAAGCAAACATAAACCACTAAGTGCAAACACTGCATTTCTAACTTATTTGTTTTCAAAGTCAAGGTTATTTTTCTTGTGATTTTGGCTACTCATTGGGACATACGGTTATTTACTAGATGTCAGTTTATTTCTTATTTAGTTTCCTCTTTCCTGGTTACCTGTTCCACAACTATAATTGTAATTTCCAGTTCTTTAGCAAAGATCACACACCCTGGATTTTTATAATCCTTGAGCAATTAGAGCTGAGGCCCTCTCTGTTCCATTTTCTTTTCCTATTGGTTGATTCACTTATTTGTCCACTTTTCAATATATATTCCTGAACTATCTGCTATTTACAAAGTTTTGTGTGAAATATTGGAAACAGGGATGTACAATTTTACCCTAGATTGAGGTGCTTATGTTGTATGAAGGAGAAATGACACAGGTGGTACAACACAAAGTAGCATGTGCCTTGTGGATGTATTTGGAGTTCACAGACAGAGGGATCCCATTGGCTTAAGCGATAATCAAGAGTTTAAGAAGTCCTGGCTAGGAAAAGGCATGAAGCAAGGGTGGGTATCAACAGGTAGCCCTCAGGGCTAGGAAGAGAACATTCCAGACTTGGCTTGGGGGTATTGGGGGAGAAACAAATAAAAGGTACCTCAACATGATCATGCAAGAAATTTAGTCACTGATTAAAGAAAAGATTTAACGTTACAAAAGCACACAAGGCAGGATACTTACTTTGAAGTGAATTTTGACTCTATATTCAGAACCTTCCTTTAGCACAATGGTTTCTTTTTTGAGGGCTTCCAGATCTCCTGTAGAGGAAGATTTAGAGAGAGTTTATCCTTAAAAGCAGATATGCAAGTTAATAAATGACTTTTAAGCCCTGGAGAAATTAGTTGGGCCTACCAGCACAACATGGTTCATAGGGCCCTCAATTCACAGAGTATTTGAGTTTAGTCCTGCGCGTGCATGTGCACACAAGCGCACACACACACATGCGTGCACACACACACACGCACACACACACGTAATGCCTGAAATCTTACAGCTCTGTTAGGAAAAACATTAGAGTTTCCCTGCCCCCAAGTTTGATGACAATGCTAAAAATATACAAGACATTACCAGTAATGAGTTGTGAAGATAAATCTTTTTTTGGTCAATTTGTTCTCTCATTGAGAATTATATTACTGGTCAAATGAAGAGGTTATTAAAGAATATACCCCTACCCCTCAAATAAAAAATACGATAAAAATATTATTTAGGAGTGTCAGCTATTTGTTTTTATAGATCTGGTGATGTTTGTGGCATTTTCTAGTTTTTAAAATTCTACTTGTTTTTATTCATCATTTTAAATAAATATTCACCTTTGTGTTTACTCTTGTATTTTCATTTGCAATATCATACTATTTTTCTTAAGGAATATCACTGAAGTTATAAAAGCTTCAGATTCCATACAACCAGGATCTGTCCCTAATTCCTGTACCCTGATTAAGGAAGTAATCGCTCTCTATGCTTTTCTTCATGCATAGCAGCTTGCTTGTGACAGAAAACCAAATTTGGTTTTCCTCTGCTGGGAAAGGGGACAGAGATGAAGTTTTCCTTGCAATACCACCAGGCCCTGCTGAACAGAACAGATTTCTTTAGCGCTAATTCAGACCTTATCTTGCAAACTGGCAGCTGCATCTGGTAATATTAGGAAGACTCTGAGTTCTGGTGAGAGAGTGTGAGTTTCTCTCCTGGAGAGATGCGAGCGTGTGGGGGTAGTGAATTCGTGTGTGTGCCTGCTCTAATGATTTCAGTTGAACAGGAAGTGTGCCTTCTCAGCCTCTGATTTCCTCCCTCTGACAAAAAAGCCCATATAAGGTAAAGACTGGCTATGTCCTGTGAGAGGGGAACTACTCTGCTGCTAGCTGAGCCTACTGTTCTAGACTTATGCTTTGTCTGTCCCACAACAGTACAATTTTTTCATTTGGTAACTATTTTTTTTCCCCACTAAAAACTTGCCTTTGATGCCCCCAATCTCCTGGCTTCGTGATTCTCCTCTCTTTCCCCTCTGATGCCCATTTCCTCCACAATAACCCCCTTCCCAGTCTCTGTCCTTCTCCTCAAGCCCTAAGTCTCAGGGAAAGACTTGACCCTTAGTTACAAAAAGGTGAAAGAAAATAACAACATCTTAATTTGTACGCCTTTAGTAAGGGACGTTGTTTATTTAACAAGAATCAGAGTTTCAAGCTAAAACAATTCAATCTACATCAGTGGAATTTCTAGCATAATTCAGGATTGCTTCTCACCTTCCGGTAAGTTTTGTAAAGCTGATAAAAGATCAATACTTTGATGTTCAGACTATATAAACCTTACAATTTCAGAAGCACACAATTTGTTTCTGAATATTTCCATCAGCAGTGTTTATTGCATAAATAACAATTCTCAGTTTACTATCATGTGGAGAGAAAAATCTGTAACTATATCAAATGTGTATGCCTGCACTCTCTTCAATTAAATAGAGATAAAGATTGGACTTTTCATGAAATATGGTAAATACTGGGCACTCTAAGAGCAATGATTTGTTAACTGGTCCTAGCATATATACCTCTCTGATTCGCCAGTTTTTTTCTTTTTGTTGGAACAGGAGACAGAGACCAAGTTTTCTTTGTGATATCTTAGGCCCCCTCTGAACAGTACAGATGTGTCTACATACCAGTAAGGTCCATGGTGATTGGTCCTGGGGCACTCGCACAAACCAGGGTGAGCCGGGTGACAACGACATTGGGGGCTTTCGGATCTGCAGGATCAAAAGGGAGTGTAAGTACCAAGAAGAGACACGTGTGTAGTGGGTGTGTGCATTTGTATTGCTCTAATTATTGACATCCAACATTTCCTGAGTGGCTATGGGTCAGGTACTCTGCTAACTGGGCACTGCCCATTTATATCTCCGGGCCATGTCTTGTTCTGCTATGGTGTGTGTGGAAGAGATGAATGGTTAGGTAGTTACTGAGAAAGAGAAAAAAGAAGAAAGAGAGAAAATGGAGAGAGGGAAATACAATTCTAAGTGGTAGTCTGGAATTCTTTCTAAATCCCTGCTGTGTGTTATGTGTGCCTCTCTCACGGCTGACTTGCATCTTATCTCTTAAGAAGACTTAATTACACAGTTCATAACTTTAATCAGCACATACAAATTGTGCCTTGCTCACTTATTCCTGGAAGCAGTTGGTCCTCTTCCCTTTGCTGCTGCTCCTGAGCAGCCGAAATGTCTTCTTTCTTCTCAGGGACCTTCCACCCACCCTGCTCTCTGTACACACATACCTGTTACCACAGGACCATCTCCCAGCAGCGTTTTCTTGTACTTAGTTAGACTCTCATCATCTTTGTCCATTTCCTGCAGCTCTTTCAGGGACTTCTGCGGTGGAGGCTTGTAATTGAGCTTGTTGTCCAGCTCATCATCGTCATCCTCTTCCACATGTGGCTCTGGGGCTTTTTCAGTCATTTTGATCTATTTCTGGGAGAGAGAATGACCGTCCATTAGTCAGAAGTCATGGATATAGAAGATGTTTCTGGGGTTGCTGTTAGCAGCCTCCTTACCCTCATGGACTTCTGTGATCATCAGTCACTTTCCTGATTTTTTTTCCTAATTCAATCTCATTCAATTCTACGAAATAATAATCGAATGTATTCTAGTCATTTCTCTGACCTGCCTGAATTTCTCTGTGCTCATTGTAGTATCTTCTATTCATTGAACAAAACTGACAAGAAAGAAATCACTCATATGTGAATAACATACTATGAGTGAAGCAACATGGCACAAAGACTCCTGAACAAATGAAGCAAAAGCCCAGTCAAAAAGCTGTAGGAGTTATCGCAGTCCTCCAAATCCAGCCAGCCTGGCTAGCATCAAAACCTGCAGCATGCACAGTCTGAGTGATAATGGTGGAGAGAGGCAGGAGAGAGAGGAGAGAGGTGGAGTACTTGCCAAAGAAATGGTTGGCTTCTCCCCATTAATGGAATCTATCTCTGAACTCCAGCAATGCCTCAAAGGTGACTCATGAGGAACCATTGACCTTTATGATACCTGCCCCAGGTGCCTGCATGGTTCACACCCAACACTGCTAATCACCCCTCGAGGGTGGGTACTAGGTTCGTTGTTTTTCTTGAATTCTCCCCCAAACACTTGCATAGTTCTGGCACTTCATAAAACTTCCTTGATTGATATATAAGCTTTTATATCTAAAGATATTCTGCTCTTTTTAAATGCCACAAAAAATAGCAAAAGACACTAAATTCCTCCAGACAAAATTTTAAGTACAAATTTGCCCTTAGCATTTGTCCATCCATTTCCCTTTTCTAGATCCACTTCCCTTTCAGTCTCTCTCTTTCTCCCCTTCCCAGGTTTCCATTGACCCTATAAGGCCCCACGTGGGCATACCCTGGAGTCTGCCTTCATCTCTCATTATCTATATTTACTTGTTTTGTGTTAAAACATTGAGGAGAAATCTAGGCAAGTTATTCACTGGTTAAGGGTTAATGACTGAATAGTAGATTCAAAAATTATTCCTCTTAGAGGATGTACAGTCACAGCTTTTCAGAGCTGAAGTGAACCATTGGGGTTCATGTAATCATTGAGGATATTGAGATCCAGAGTGAAGAGAATTGCCCAGGTTCACACAGCTGGATGAGAGGCAGTATACTCACCAAGAGGAAGAAGTCCCTCTGGGAAGAATTTCAGGCCCTGTGGCTGATAGCCGTAGGAGATGGCTGCCAGGGAGTTATTTGGGCAAGGAGATCGTTTTCTGATTTTCTTGATTCTATTTTGAGGGTAACTCTTTTCCCTGCCTGTGGTTAAAGACTTCATTGCTCCTAAGTGACACAACTATAAGAAGATATCTGTCACATCACATCCTGAGTGGCTCTGCAAACCTTAATAAAGTATCCCAGGAGTGAAGATATCTCTGGCCAAAATCAGTTCTGGTTTTGAGTTTCAATGTCACTATTATCGGCAAGAGGAAGAAAAATAATCTGGAAGTAAAGCCAAATGAGAGCAATTTTAGTGGAACCAAAAAAAAAAAAAAGAGAGAGAGAGAAAGAAAGAAATAATATCCCTTGGCTCATCAAGTCTCTTCCATCTAAATAAGCAGCCAAACATTATGAGCTAGCCTTGACCAACTCTGAAAACAGCATTGCAATGCCCAGGTTCACTTCCTGTACAGGAAGAAAACATGTAGTCCTGTTCCTATGGCAACTCTTGCTTCAGCTGAAGAACCAGCACCACTCAAAGATGAGACTCTAGAGCACAGCAGAATAAACATAGTGACTAATGCAATTCGTATTCCAAACAACACTCAGGGAAAGTGAATGAACTGGTTGGAAAAAATGAAGGATGCAGCGTGTGGATGTTGTAGGTTGTGGGTAGTTTAATGCGAATCATTAAGGGGCAGATGAAGAGCAAGGCAGATAAGACTAATCAGATGAGACAGGGGCCTATCCAGAACGCTGGTGACCCCCGGAGGATGGGGGCCACATAACAAACCTGCTGACCAAGCATCAGAACAACTATTTATAGAGGAAGACATCCCAGCCCCCATGGTCAGGCCTTTCTGAACTATATCACTTGGTTCTAACAAGTCTCCTGATTGAATGAAACCTGACCATCAGATAGTAACATTACATCCAGTCACTGGCTCAAGATGATTTCAGTAACCTCCAGGAAATTGTAACTATGCAGCCTCAAATCTCAATGTTGAAAAGAGAAAGAGAGAGAAAGAGAAAGAGAGCGAGAGAGGGAGAGAGAAGGATTAGGTATAGGACAAGATTTGCCACCTTCTAACTGTGTGACCATCGGCACGTCCATTTATCTAACATCTAGGTCTTGATCTTCTCATTAGTAAATCTGAGGCTTATGTTCTATATTTTTTTGATTCATTGCAAACAGATATAACAATTGTTTCATAAAAAACGAGACATAAATTTATCTAGATATTAAAGAGTGGAGGATACTGTGGGATTTCTGCATAAAATTTTGTTGCAGTCAAAAGGGGGAAATTCAGGGCCACATTAAAATCATTTGGTTTAATTATAGCATAAGAAAAAGGGATATGAGACCAGGTGATCCCAAACTAGCTCATTCTAGAAAGCTGATTAGAAAAAGTAATAATACAGCAAATAAACGACAGGAAGAGCAGTTCTCAGAGAAAGTCTTTTAAAGCAAAATTAGGGTTATGATTATTTGGTGAGCACCCACTGTTTACGAGACACTGTACTTTAGCCAGTTTAAATTGCTCTTCAGAGTAGAGAACAGGCTGGAAGTTGGGCAATCTAACCATACTAAAGGGTCTTCCTGGTTTGGTTGATTTCTTATTTTTTTTTTGGAGATTACAGTTCTCTTTTTAAAAAATCTGATAAACATGGTAATTATCTCAAGGAAAAAAAAACCAGGTAAACCCATGATATTGTGCATATGATCTAGGGGTTTGTGGACCCCTGAAGTCCTTTGTAGACTTATTGGGGTTCAAGATCTCCAGATTAGGAACATAACCTTGAAACTGTGGAAGCATGAAGCAGAGAGTGGCGTGTTACAGAGGAAGCTTGCTTTTTTGCTTTTGCTTGCTCTTTCTCTCTTTCTTTCCCTCCCTCCCTCTCTTTCCCTCCCTCCCTCCCTCTCTCTC